CCTGCTGATGCCAGCAGGCTCATTAATTTCCATTAATGAAAACACTGACCTTCCCAGGAGGAAACAGGGACAGACACGATCGCATTTTTGGATTAGGTCAGCCGACGTGAGGTGACTTTGGTTCAGTCTCCTGAAGGCTCAACCCTTGTCCAAGGGTCTGCTCCACCAGAGCCGGGGCAACCACAGGAGAGAAGCAGTAGAAATGTCCTTTCTCATCGTGCTTCCAGTAGCTACAAGGGGAATGACCGCACGGCCTGTTGGCCCGGCGGGCTCCTAAGCCTTGCACTGCCTTTAGGAATAATCTCCAGCCGTAACAGAGACTGCTTTTGGGCATTGATATATCTTCTTTCAGGATTGTCATCATCCTCTTCCTCAGAGAGTAACCTTCAGCCAACAGGAGGAGGTGCCTGATCCAGGGTCAGGCGCATCCATCTGACGCGCTAAGGGCTAGACTTAATGTAGGACTGGGGTTTCGAACAATTCAGCATCACCTGAATCCCTCTGGGAGGAGTGTACCCTGGTTCTAAAACACGGGGAAGGGATAAGGCTGTCACTGCCCCTCCCTGTAAGTACTGTCCTTGCCTAAGAAGGAAGAAAAATGGTTAAAAATCCTCCTTAATTTAAGAGGTGATTTGAATGCCTGTTTCTCCTTGCTAGGCAAATGCCCTTGGCTAGTCTGTATGAGGACAGTCTCTGCTCCTCCATCAAAGCAGTAGGAAAAAAAGAAAAGATCGCAGCCCAGTAGGCTGGTCCTGGGTACGGGGAACAGACAGGAACATGACTTTTGGCGGTTAGTGCCGTCTTCTCGAAGGGGAAGACCTGGGTGCTTGTTCCTGCTTCCAGCTCTATTTCTGTCTCTTACGTCAAACCAACGCGGGATACACTCCGTAAACATCACCAGCTGCTGGTAGGGTTTAGGTGGGGTTTTTTGGTGGCAGTTAACACTCCATTTTAAGGGATCTCCATCCTGTCTGTGTGTGGGTGATGACTGAGCAACGGCTACCTCTAAGAAAGCCAGTCCGGCAACATGTCCAGATGCCCCCAGAGCCCGTTTCAGCATGAGTTAAACCTCAAAAAAAGTCCTCATTCCAACCAGAGCCAGTGCTCAATTCTGGGCATACACAGAGGTGCCAACATAAAGGGAGAGGAAAAACAAAGCCTCCCGGAGGTTAGGTACCTCCGTGGTCAGCAAGTGGTTGAGTTACAATCATCAAGATAATTTTTTATGCCAGTCTGCTTAAGTTTCCTTCCACCCCCGCTTTTTTCCCCTAAACCTAGAATTCAGAGGGGAAAAAAAAAGAAAAACCAGAACAACTAACAAAGGTAGGATGAACAGAAATGACGTAACTGATTGCCATAACGTATTGTGAGAATTAAATCTCTCAACTCATCTGCTTACCCATTTTCCCAGTGGGCTCAACGGTGATGTAAGAAGGGAATATCTTGGTGGGGCTCCAGCTAAATAAAGGTCACAGCTTTTACCAGCCGCGACGCGCAGCCGCCCGTGGTCTGCTCCAAGCACCCAACGGCCAGCTTCACCTCCCTGCTTGCCCTCCCAGGAGTCCCAAGGGAAAAAACTCTGTTTTAAAGTTGCAAATCTACCCAAACTCTTGTCTTGGCTGACTAGTTCCTCTAATCTGCCATCAGCCTGTTTATCAGTCCTGTAATTCAGTGCCATTCTCTTGCACAAACTCCACTATTACATGACATAGTCGTTATTTAAAGAAATGGTAACTCCTTGTGGTCAGACAGAGGTCTGTGCAGCTAGAGAGAAAGTTCCCAGGAGACCTATGTAAAACAGAAGCTAAAACTCATACAGCTTTGAGTTTCTAGTTTAATGAGAGGTTTCTTATTTAAGTGAATTAACGCTAACCATCAAAGCCCCACATCCCAGCCTGTTCCTGTTGGTTAACAGTCTGTAAAACCCAGAGCAGCACCATCACAAGCCCAAAGACAACAGCAGCACCGCTGCCCGTGCCAGCGTGGTGCTGTTCCTGTGAGTTCCTTCACCCAAAGTTTCTCCCTCTGGATTCGTTTGCCCCCAGCTGACCCGTCCCAGGTCTCCCCCATGGGACATCAAACCCTGGCAGCATCTAGTTCAAAAGCTCTTTGGCAGCTTCCTGGTTCAGTGGGATCTTCTACAGCAGCCACCAGCTCGGGACAGGGCCACGTTCCCCCTATAGGGCAGCAAAGGAGGTATTTACCCTCCAGCCCCCCATTATGTTATTACACTTAAAGAAAGCCACAGGCTACAACAGGCTCCAGGGGACATGCTGGCCACAGGACGGGGCTGTCCTTTGAAATATTGCTACAAATTCCAGGAAATCTCTTACAACCAAATCGAGCAGTTCCCTTTTACCAGCAAAAGGAACGCGGCGCAGACCCCCCCAGGGAGCAGATCAGCCCTCCGCGCCTCGGCCCCCGGGCGCTCTCCCCGCAGGGGCCAGAGGCACCACGCTGCGCTTCTGCCCATCACGCAGGAGGGATGCAACCACCGGAGCTGCCGTGGATGGGGAAACAGGATGGTTTGGTAGGGGGGAAATAATCCCACTACCCACTGGGATACAAGACAGCCCCAAACAACTGCCTCGCTTCCCACAGGCGCACAACTCTTTGCAGCCATGTAATGTGGGCAATGCTGCAGAGCACTTATTTTTAAGGTCTTCTCCCATTACCCAAGAGCTCTCTGTTTGGCAATCGGTCAAAACCCACAAGTTCAGCATAAGGGAAGATTGTTTCTGGAAATCAAAAGCACGACACTAAAACCTGACCAGTTTGGTGTCAAGTTGGCATTTAGAAGTTGAAGAGAAATAAAAACCCTGAGCGTAAACTATAGAAATAAGTGGGCTGAACAGGGCGCATGCGCACTGAACTAACCACAGAAGAAATCCCAGATTCAAGCCCCGCTGATGAGACTGTTACTGATGGGTTTTGCCCTCAGATGTCTGTCACACTAAAGCACATCCAGGCACTTCTGAAGCTTACTCTGAATCGTATTTGGCAACTGGACGGTATTCCTATACTGGCTCAAGGCCAGGTCTAAGACCAACGCTGGGCCCTCCAGCGTGCAGGCTCTCCACAGCTCTCCACAGCTCGGTGCCGAGCCCTCAGGGGTTGGCAGTTAGCATTTGCAAGGGCCTCATGAGGGTGAGTTTGCCTCCATTTGCATTGAACAAAGTAAGTAGCCCTTGGCAGAAGTAGCAGATGGGGGACCACAACACTGCCTGCCCAAGGCAAAAGGGTGAATGCAAAAGCAACACCGCAAGGCTGAGATTTTACAGCTCTGAAGAACACAGCCGTGCTCAGTGCAATAGCCACAACCAGCATGACCTCTTCTATGTGGAACAGTGTTGAGAGCAACGGGGCAAACCAGGTCCCCTCCAACCATCTCCCCTACGAGGGGGCGATGGATTTCTGTAGGATAGGTCCCAGCCTCAGAGCACAGGCCCCAACTCACCTGAACATCAGTGCTGAGCTGGAGATCCCAGCTCTGCAGCAGGGACCCATCTTTTCTTTGTAGCACTGGAGGTTTTTTTGGCTAGTGATTTTGTTTGGTTGCCTTTTTTAAAAATGTAAATGAAAACACAGAAGAGGAAGAAAATCAAATGATGTGTGAAAGCAAAAGAGTTTTGTAGAGGGAAACCATGAGCTCCATTAAAAACCAACAAATATTGTGAGTCTGCAAATAGATACTGCAGGTATCCAGTGCATCTGCAGACAGGGTATTTATAGAAGAAATACAAAAGTTGTTGAGATCAGGAACTCACTTCTCTCTCTTACACTCAAAGCACTCGGCCAGAAACTTTGTTTTCCCTCCAGTTAGTATGAGTCATTTCCCTATTGAAAATCAAGGGTCTTAATCTACAGTGAAAACAGGCCCTCAGAGATACACCAGCAGTCAGCAACTCTAGGTGCAAGCTCTCCTCAACCCATATACGCTTATACTTCCTAGCCACCTCCACCCAAGCAAACCTTTACCATAGGAAACACTTTTGGGCAGTCAGTAACAGGAGACCGTGTCTTTGGGGTGTCATTCCCGCTTCTCGGCCATCCAGATATCCACCTGGTTCAGTGGTGGTTTGTGAATTGTCAACAGCAGTTAACACTGAAGCTTTGGCAAGAGCAGAAAGAACTCAAAACATCAAGGAAAGCAGCTTACACTGCAGCACAGATGTACAAGATAAGCAGAAACGCTTTCATTTCTTTTCAGACTAGAACCTCAAGTGACAAGGCAGCAGTTACAGCTCAGCTCACGACGAGGGACGTGCTATGGTTTACTTTGTGTGAAAGTCTCATCCCAGCCGCCCCCTCCCTTTTTTTTTTTTAACCCGTGAGTTATAACTGCTTCCAACTCCACACTGGGCGATAAGGCACACGGGTAAGGGTAGGGTAGCCTGAATGTTGGCTTCTACGTCCCTCTTATTTTTCTAAGCATTAAGGATTAACTAGTGAAAGGGGCTAAGAATGTGAGATGACAAAAAAGGTACAACCGCCAAGTGCAGAGAAACCAAAGTACTGAATTACTGTCAAGTGAGAGTGCACCGTTACCACTGGTATCACCACGCCACAAAAAACCCCTCCCCACCAAGAGATTTTTGATCATCATATGGAAGCTATAGGTTTACCTATCCACAGATCTACTCCTGATGAATCCCACGTGCAGGCGCTCTCACTCCAGAATAAAGCACCTGGTTAGACTCCAACAAGGGATTAGGTTTGTAGGAAGGAAGTTCCTTGTTCCAGAATCAGGTGTAGAGGCTTAACCCAGGACAGCTTAACCCAGAACAGCTTCAAACATCAACAAGGCCTAAAATGGAACACCTCTGTAACAGACACAACATGTACATCCAGTCAGAATGACTTTTAAGACAGTAAATTCACTTTCACATTTGTTAATGTGGAACTTGGAGGTGTCACAGTACAAAAAGAGAGAAAATACGCTTAAGTAAACAGAATAGCTGAACTGTAAGAAATAATTTCCTTTGGAGGTGGAATGCTAGGTGGAGTTTATTTATTCTCAAGACAGGAAATACACCCATTCATATTGCCTAGGTAATACCACAAATATATACAAATAATGAAGAAATAATTTTAATGAAATAATGTGACTGTAATTATACATACTGTAATTATTTTGGTTGCAGTCTCGAAGCTTCAATCAGTGCTAGCATTTGGGCTCTGTGCCATAGCTGGCAGCCAGGCCATCCCCCACACAGCTCAGAATTAGGACAGTCAAAGCAGCTTTAATCCTTTCCAAGCCTGAGCTTGAGCTCAGTCTTCCCAGAGTGGTATTTCAGCCACATGGCTAGCTACTGTGCCACTGCGGAGGCTTTGTGGACTGCACTGCATTCATCTGGCCCTACAAATGTTCTCTTCTGTTCTAGGATTTTTTTTTAGTTTGGGGCACGTTAGGAGAACACGAGATGAAACTCAACAGATCAGGGAAGCGGTAGGGTGGAAGAGGCTGTCTTTAGTTAAATGTCATAATGTTTTCTTTCTTTCTAGCCTTCCCGAGTACTTCGGAGAAGAAACAAAAGCATGAGCCTACAAAATCTAAAGCTGGCAGCTGCTCAATCATTAACGAGGAGACTGTCCAATTCAGCCCACCCTGGTGCAAGCAGAGCTGCAGCGGTTGAGGAAGAATGAATCCCAGACGCAGGAGGATGATTTAAAAAATAGTAAACCAGAATTTTTCTCGGGGAAATTCAGAGCCGATTTCAGCACTCCGATATTTCTGCTGTCATTCATCATAAACTCCGCTGAGCATGTCTGAATTTTTGGTAGCTTTCCCTGTGATGCCAAGAACTAATGAAGCCCACAGAAGTCAGTCCAGGCTTGCTGAAGTCCTACCAGGCTCTTCATCCCCCAGGCATCTGCATATACACTGTGACTTTTGCTGCGGGTGTGAGGTGAGAGTTTTTTCACTACCATACTAAGCATGGCTGTGCTGCAACAGTCCATCGCATAGAGTTGAGCTTATTGTGAAAAATGTCTCACTTTTAGACAACCAGTTTATCAAGTCTGAGGTGCTAAAGCTCTATTTCATACCAGGTCAAGGCCTTGGTATGTCTTTCAAGGGTCTCCACGCTGTCCCCATTTTTTTCTTCCCTAGATCTTCATCTCAAGGTATTTATATATGCAAACAACAGTTCAATTCCTATGAATTTTTACAAAGTCAGGCTGGAGGAAACTCTGGAGTTCTAGTGTAGATCAGCACCTATTCTAATGGAAGTGTGTCACACACGCACCACCACCAGCCACCCATACCTTACCAGTCACACTCAGACAGAAAGCTACCGGGCTTCTGCAACGGTCAACAGCATCTCTTCCAAGTAACAAATTCAAGTTTGTTCTTGATTGGGAGTTCTCTCTTTGATTAGAATACTTAAACTTGAAAAAACACCTCACATGTAACGCTGGAAGAGGAATCATCCAAAGTAGCCAGTTGCCAGCTTAACATTCATTAAAGCTATTTAAAACTTACATCTAAATATACTGTGTCAGAAAAATAACGTGCAAGCTAGCATAAAGATAATTGTCAATAAGCAAGTGCACAGATATTGCTGATTGTCCTGTGCACACTGGTTGCCTTTTCCAGTAAACACAAGCTATTACAGTAAGTTTGCATTTGCATCTCGGTAACGTTATCCCTTCAGTTACCACACCCATGTTTGAAGCAGTCTTACTGATATTTAACAGGGTTTTACAGAGGCTACAGCTGTACTAGAAAAATGTTCCTTTACTATAGATAAAAACTAAGCAAAGACAGTAAATACCACCTAGAGAAAGCTTTCATCAAACCATTTTAAGGTTTAATTTTGGCAAAATACCTGAAATGTATGTTAGAATGAATACACCAAGTTTTTATCAGTTACACACATTTTACATCCAAGTGCTTGCCGCCTGTGCCATCTACTGGTGCAAAGGACTCCTCTGACTCACACCCTCTCTCCCACTTCCCTCAGACCAGCTGAACTCAGGAGCTACTCAAACCAAGACAGAGCATTAGAAGATCCCGGGAATACCAGCTGTTTTCATAGAAGCAACCTTAAAACTGCAGTCCTTTGATCTGAATGCCCGCCCCCATCATAAAATGATTAGGGACAGATAATAAGCCTAGCACACCGCACGCATGACCGAAACTTCAGCTACCTTCTCAACGCAAGAGCATCAAGCAGGTAAGAACAATCTGTTCCTTTGAGCATCCTGGCTTGTTGCCTAGAACATCTAATAAGCTCTTAAGGAACTGACTTCATTTCTTTTAAAATCTTTACCAGACAAAGGTAAGAGAAACTGTTTCAGCCTATCTGGAAGCATACCTAGCATTCCTGTTAAGTGTCTCAAGGCAGCCAGCCGGTTAAAGGCTTGTAAAGCGAGAGCCATCCACTGCACAGTCAAAGCTGAAGGAAGAATTTCTATTTTTTTTGTGTTCAGTAAGGTCAAACCTCAACACTGCAAGCAGATGCTTCTTGCTCTCTGCAACTAACACATTTCCAAACCCTTCCACTCAAGGCTACCAAAACAAATGAGACAGCCAACCCACCCTCGTTATCCTCTCAGACAATCCGGAGGAGGAGGGGGAGGAAATCACCACGACAGTAACTTGCCCAAGCACACAGCAAGTCTGTAGTAGAAACTTGTCAGTGCAGCTACCTCCCCCAGTAACACATAACCTGTTTCAGTAAAGTATACCTGACTCCCAGTGACAATAATTAGAGCTTTCCACAGCATTCTATTTCAGTGAAGTTAACTACAGAATGAAACACTCTCCTACACTTACTATTTTAGAGCCAAGCAGACCAAAGCTCTAGTTTTGGGGCACATCCTCTGCATCGCATCGCCACGCCTCGGGAGAAGAGCTGCGTTAGTTTCCAAGACAAGGCAGCAGAATTCCCTACTGCCCAGGGACTGTGCCCTGCTCCTTTCCTCTGCAGTTTCATAAACAATGACTGAGAGCAGCTACTCCTATAGTCACTTCTCACTCCCTAGTTCTTAGTGCAGAAAGCCTGCTTACTGTTTTACTTCCAGCTCTATAATCCAAGTTACTTTCCAGGAAAGCCAGAAGGGTTCAATACACACTTTAGCTCTCTGAGCAACCATAGAAGTTTCACCGCAGCGCTCTCCTAGCTCTGAGCTTAAAGCACAGCAAAGCTCATGGGTAAATGCTGAAAGGCGTTACAATAAGCTGTTGATTAACCCTCTTGGGTCTTGGTCTATTACGATATACTAAAAAGACTTCTCGTTAACACTGCCCTAAATACACTAAGACAAGCATACCTTTAATCATCAGCCTCATCAACACCAGTATTCAGATGGATGAATTACAGAATGCATCCTTCCTTTGCTATACCACAACTGGCAGTTACTGCCCACAGGCCAGGAACTCTGCCCAGTGGATTCAGTTTACAGCACTAGACATCACTGAGAACTGCCTGCTGGGGGATCAGGTTTGAAGCGAGGTGTCTTTCCTTCCCTCCATTCCCCAAGTTTGTTTTGCACCACAAAGCATTTCCACAGCAATAGGGAGAGGAAATTCGGCTCCACAAGCTGAAAGAAAAAGAAGAGGTGAGGGTAAGAGGGAAGAGCACTGCATGCTGCCCCAGGCCCATAACCATCACCTCCCCCATGTGGGCCATATACCAGCGTACTGCGCTCTTGCCTCTGAGCGCCATGAAGTCACACAAACGCCAAAGTTTTAGAGAAACATTTATTATAGGGTTGCAGAATTTATGCCAATATAAAGTCCCTTAATAAAACTCTCACGTTTATCAGCTGCAGGACACTAACTCTTCGTTTTCTTTATACTGCAGCTTTCAAAAAAAAGGAACAATGCTCTGACTGCAGTAGTAATGCTACTTGCTCATAAAAAGTTGGTCTAAAAAGTTTATATAAGCCAGAGTAGTTTAAGTTTACAACTACAGTCACATTCACAAGTGAGCTATACCAGAACAGATTCTTGAAGTAGGAAGTTAAAGGATAAACCAATTCATAACCAAAATACTGACAAGCTTTAAGAGCAATTCTACCCGAATCTAACAACTAAATACCACAAAACCAAACAAAGGTAGAAGAATTAAACGTAAGCTCGGGGAAGGTTCCAAATATACATACGAATTCAATACAGTAATTGCACAAAAAGAAAGAGGGTAGTGTTAGAGGTTTATGATCACTGAGATTGGATTTTACATGCTTCACACATGGTAGTTAAAATAAACCTTTAATGATACGCATTAGAAGGTTTTTTAGCCAGGATACGGAGTGCAAAGCTATTCTACAGAGCTACACAAATGTGCAAGCCACAGATTATTAATATTAATCATTCTGTGAAAGTTAAGGTGAACAAAACTGGTTCCAGCCAAGGAATTGGTTAACATTTTTATATATATATTTTTCTGCCATTCCCAGATTACACTAAACCAAACACATTCAATGGATAAACTGATATTAACCTTCTAAAAAAACCTTACTCAGATTTAAGTTTTACATGAGACAACTAAAAAGTTATACCAAGGATCAAAGAAAGCTGAAATGGTGAATTTGTCTTTTGAAATACAAGCAATACACAGAAAATGCATAAGGCTTTTGATTATCACTGCACATTATAAGAAGTCGATGTCTAATGCTCAGACTTCTCAATGAAGGTGTGAACGAGTCACCTCCCATCCAACACCTTTCACTGTTGACAGATCTTTGTTTCAACAACGAAAGAGTTTTCAAAGTGTCTGATTGAATGACAGTTCTCCACTGAACGCTTCTGCAGACCTGGGGACGAGAGAATACGAGAGCTTAAGTAAAGCAGATCTAGAACCCAGCAGCAAGTATTTACAAGTTTTGTATCATGAGCAGCAGCAAGATACAATCCTTCAGTACATAGTGTTTTACAGCCGTGAATTGCCACCAGAGCTTGGTATCAGTTTGTTTTCTATCGGAAAGCCTCCCTCTTTTTCAGAATGGTAGCAACAAAAGAGGGGCCCGCATACAACACAGGGGACAAAGCAAGCAAGCACTTTTTTCTAGTATCCCACCACCATTTTAGTGACGGAAGAGACAACACTAAATAGATCATTTATGGTAAGGTTTCTCATAGCCCTTCCTAACCACAAAGAAAAGGAAAAGCAAAGCAGATTGAAGTTACAGGGAAACAGTTTAAAAACTCAGAAAGGGTGCAGAACCCCCCCTCCCCACCCAGTTGTTTATCAGCACTTCCCCCCACCCAGTATGTATTAACACAGAGTGTGCTTCCACAGAGCAGCCTTCACTTTGATGAGAGCCCTATGAGGATTTGCCACTCAGCTGACGATCTTACTGAAGTTTTTCCTAACACTATTAAAGTGATTTTCTCTATTTTGGGACATGCCAACATTGAATCTGACACAGGCAGTTTCCCTGTATCAGCTATGAATCTTTACTAGGAGGCAAGAATATAGTAGTCCTGCCATCAAAGACAAAGCTGCTCAACTAAAGCACTTCAATATACAACAATTAGAGAAGAAATATTTATAGCTTGTTTAATAAGCAGAGAATTGTTCAGAGTAAGCAAGAGAAGCTATCCATCGAAGTCTAGAAGCACTAGCTATTAAACCAAACCCAGCAGGGCACTGCTTTAGTTTATAGACACTTAAAATATAGGCTGTCCTTCAATTCATCTCAATCTTAATGCCTGTGCAAGCTAAAAAGTTTCCAATGGCTATCTAATTGGGTACATAACTCAGTCAGGATAACCTGTCAGGTTTCTCACATGCCTTCAGTTACAGCTCCAGGGAACTGCCGCAGAACCTGAGGTCAGTTAGATCTAACAGATGAACCCATGAACTCCACAAAATCCGAGAGCCAATGCAGCACCAGCTAAACGAGAAGACTTCTCCACAGAAGTTGCAGGAGTTTATCCATTTCAGTCTAATTATTTACATGTGCATGGCTTGTACACACTAGAAGAAAGGCATGCTAGAAATTTGATCTGGAAGGCAAGACAAGCCTCGTTCCTGAACAATTTTCTCCTCAGCAGCAGTCCTCCATTTGACTATATTTCCTGCCCCCCTCCCCTCCAAGGGCAAACAAGGTTAGTTACAGGACAGAAACTGTACCAAGGAGCATTGTTCATGTACGAGAACCCTTCTGCGCAAGTACTCTGTAGAAGTCTTTTACTATGCAGCAAAGACATCAACAACATACTAGAGCAAGATGATGTTTCCTCAAATCATAAATGCTCTTCGCAGTGTTGCCTGTGGATGAGTGTCTTTCAGTCACAGCGGCAGTCAGTTTAGACTTGTTCAAAAAAGCATCTTCACAGCAGCTAAGAGACACATGCCTCTCCCTCCCAGGAAGGCAACATTTACTGTTTCTTCATGTGCCCTACAGTGCTAGCTACACAGGACCAGTTTTATGCTCCCACATCCAGAGCCTTCCATCTAGTAAAAGGATGTAGTCTCTAGCAAACAGCAGATGTGGCTCCTGATACTGCAAGCTGTAACTGGGCTGAGGAAAATCTTGCCTAAGAGCTTGGCAGGAAAACCAGAGCAGAGAGTTCTGACAAGCCAAACATTTGCATTCTGAAAGGCTGTAACTGACAAAGGATTAGTTCACTATGTGTTTGGTGAGAGCAGCAAACTATGAAATGCTTTGAGAACTACAGTGAACTAGAATTCATAGCATCAGATTTCTGTACTCCAGGCCTCCTCCCAGTATGTCAAACCACCGACACCTCAGATTCAATCCTTTTCACAGAATGGCAGGGGGTGGCGCGAGGAGACAGGCAATGAAGAAACAGAGCTCAGAAGTTCCTGTGAAGCGTTCTTCCTCTTTTAGAGAGGAAGTCCAGGATGTCCGGAGCTAGTTGTTCAGTTTTTTTTTTTTCCAGAGCAAGTAAACCAGAAGATAATGCTTTTACTTGGTGCTCCTCTAACCCAGTTTTAGATAGGACAGTGACAGACTAAACTGCACCTACCGAGACTCACATTATGTAATACAAATTTTGGGCCAAACTAATTTACAACTTCAACCAAAAGATGGAACAGAAATAGGCTTAAGTTCAAATTTGGTTTGGGCATGTAACCTCTAATTCCTTAACTGAAACTCTGTCTCGCCACGTTCGAATGAAACTTCAGATACATATTTGAAAGTAGGGGAAAATACCCATCAGTTCTATGAGCAGTCTCAGCTCATGTTGAACACTCACAGATGTTCAAGTCTAGAAACTCCAAAGGTTTAAGTATTTACCCTTTCCCTATTTTTCCCTACTCAAACAATAGATTTATTTTTTTTTACTGAAGGGAACTTACCCGTTATCTGGTCTCTGCGCTGAAGTCTGAACGTCTCTTTTCCAACACAGAGCTGGTAGATGAAGATACCCAAATCAGACACATTATCTATCTCCTCCGTAACCACCATTTCTTCACGAACTAGGTAGGTCTGAGGCAAGTAAGAGCCAGTCTAAAAGAGGAAAAAACCATGAGATACAGTATTCTGCCAAGAATGGACAAACATCACTACCTTTTACTCTTTGCTTTGGAAGGGCTTCAAGCGCTAGATTTCAGGCTTCCTTCTTTTTATTACTAAGATATGCTAGTCTTGAACAGCTGCATACCAAAGTAGTTAAAAACTGACAAAGGCTATTTCAAACAGTTGCAGTTACATCCAAACAAAGCGCAGTTGACCTTAACGTTGTTTGCTTCATGTGAGGCGAGCAAACAGAACCCGTTCAAGTTTATTTGTATGCCACAGAGTCTGCAGTTAGAAGGGGAGAAAAAGCATTACTAAAAGTTTCCATGTTTGAGGCAGTATTTTTCTAATACAAAAAAAGCAGTGCGACCTACAAAAGTCTTCACCACAAGATCACAGCACTATTGAAATGACTTCCCACCCCTCATGACCAACTCCTAGACATGGGGGCAGGGAGACATACTTAAAGCTTGTCTTCATGAAGCTAAAGAAAACAAAACAAGCTAAGCTAAATCAGGTGGCCTCTAGCACTAGGTGTAGAGGAGTCAATGACTTTTTTTTGAAAAGTACATTTGACACATGATTAGCTCAGTATTGCATTTAATTTGAAAGTAGCAGCAAGCTCTATCAACTGGACCCACAGGGTAAGTCTTCTTGGAAGAATACCAGTTTTAGTCACTGAAGAGTCAAAGCGCTTGCAGTGAGCTCATAACTACCGTGCCAATAAAACACAAGAACAAGTTAGCATTGTTCTTTTCATTAAAACTCTCATGGGGCAAGTGAGCTTTCCGGTAGTAACTCTCAGGTTTAGGCTTTCAATGATATTTGGAGCTTTATCAGATTCCTTTGTAATAGCTAAATTTAACCTTATTTGCTAGTTGCTTTCAGCTTTCATAAAGCTAGGTATTAATAAGGGCATTAAGCATGAATCTACTCAACATAATATACACTGACAGCTGGCCTTAACTTCAGTGCAGTGACTGAGCCAGGGGGATTATGTACTTTGATGGCAAGAGGACTGTTCTAGCAAGAGACTAGTTCAGGAGCAACACCCAGCATTCTTATCAAAAGGGATCTTGTCAGCATAATTAAACAGTAAAGTT